TTAATATATATCCAGTGTAACATTACTGAAACTTTCCCACTTATATGGCAATGTGACCAAAAGTTTAAAATCAGTGCAAATCTTTTTTTTTTTCCCCACAGTACTTGGGATTGAGCCCAGGGCCTTTGCACAGGGTCTTGCTATGTAGGTCAGCCTGGCTTTGAATTCACTATACAGCCCAGGCTAGCGTTGAACTCATGGCAATCCTCCTGCCTCAGCCTCCTGAGTGCTGGGATTACAGGCATGCTCCATTATGCCTGGCTTTTTAAAAATTTTTAGACAGGGCCTTCCTAAATTGCCCAGGCTAGGTTCAAATTTCTGATCTTCCTGCCTCACCCTTTCAATGCTGGGATTACCTGTGTGTGCCACCATACTTGGCTTCTATGTGATTCTTGTAAGCCCAGAAATTCCACTTGTAGCAATTTATGGCAAGATAACTGGCAAGATAACTATTAGGTAAGGAGATGTATACAAGGATGCTCACTGTTACTGTTGTTTAAACAGAGGAAACTATTCAATTTAAATGTCTACTGTAGGAAAGTGGGAAATTAGCCAAGACAGCCATACAGTCATAGTATGAATATCAAACAGCTGGTTTTGTTGCATTTTTTGAGACTGGGTCTTGCTATATAATTCAGGCTTATCTTGAACTGCCTATGTAGCTGAGACTGGCTTCAAACTCACAGCAACTCTTCTGCCTCAGCCTCCTGAGTGTTAGGATTACAGGTGCACACCACCATACCCAGATGGTCAAGCAGCTATTAACATGATGATAGATTGCCTGCCTATTTAATGATTAATCAGATCAAAAAGAAGAGTAGGGGCTGGGGATTTAGCTCAGCAGCAAAAGCGCCTGCCTGGCAAGCGCAAGGTCGTGAGTTCGGTTCCTGGTACCGGAGAAAAACCAAAAAAAAAAAAAAAAAAAAAAATCTCTACAAAAAGAAGAGTAAATAATCACTGCTATCTTGAGCACATAGGAAAAAAAAATGCGAACACTATTCATAAAAAACAATTTGCCGGGCATGTTGGCGCACGCCTGTAATCCCAGCACTTGGGAGGCTGAGGCAGTAGGATCATTGTGAGTTCAAGACCAGCCTGGGCTACAAAGTGAGCTCAAGGCCAGTTTGAACTGCATAGTGAGACACTGTCTCAAAAAGACCAAAAAAAAAAAAAGCAATTTATCTCCTTACTGGAATCATCATTGAATTTTTTCCCTTTTTAAATATATATTTTGCAGTATTTTAATGCAGTGAGATACATTACTTCTCAAAAATCATAAGAGGGAAGAAAGGAAAAAATTGTAAGAGGGAAGATGTCAGTTTGCATCACTTAGCAATCTATATTTATCAGAATAAATTATGATGTGAAAGTGTCACTGCAGAGATAGGAAGTAACTTCCATTCTTGTCATCTATTAGAAATAACTCTTTGTTGAAATTATTTTTTAGGCTGAGTCAAAAACACAATTTTTCCCCTTCCTTTCTCTCACTTGCTTTTCTTCTTTCTCCCTCTCTCTCTCCCCCCCTCCGTCCCTCACTCCTCCTCTCTCCCTCTCTCTCTCTAAGGCAGGGTCTTGTCATGTAGTCCAGGCTGGCCTCAAACTCTCGGTGATTCCCTTGCTTCAGCCTCCTAAGTGCTGGGATTACAGGTTTGCACTACCACACGCAGCTTCCTATTCTATACATTTTTTTTGCTGTGCTAGGTATTGAACTTGGGCCTCACAGACAAGCCAAAGTTCTATCACTGAATTTCACCCCTGCTCCTTCCTCCTGACTTTCTGTGTACACCTACACAATGTTCCGGATAAGGGGAGAATTTACAAGAGGACACAGTTCCAAAGAAGGAACTGACAGAACATAAAAACCTAGAATTATTTTTCTTTCTATATTCTTTAATGTACAGGCTAAAGAACTGCATATATATTTAATGCTTTTTATATAGCATTTATAATTTATACAGCACTTATAATTTTATATAGCATTTATATTTTCATTCCTTATTTCACTTATTCATATTAATAACCCTATACATAAGGGGTTTTTTCTCTCTCTCCCTCCCTCCCTTCTTCCCTTCCTTCCTTGTCATGAACCGAACTCACGACCTTGCGCTTGCCAGGCAGGCGCTTTTGCCCTTCCTTCCTTCCTTTCTGAGGTATGGTCTTGCTGTGTAGTTCAGGCTGGCTTTAAACTCTATATAGCCCAGGCTATCCTCAAACTCATGGTGATCCTCTAGCCTCGGCCTCCTAAGTGTTGTAATTATAGGGCATGTGCCACCATGCCCAGGTCTAAATATTCCTGCTTTATAAAACCTGGTTCATAGATTAAGTAAGTGACCAAAAGTCATTAGGTCAATATGTAGTAAAATCGGGAGTTCAACTGCTGATCTGTTTAATTCCAAAGTTCTGATTCTTTCCGCTATGTAACACTACTTGCACTTTACTTTGAAGTTATTAAAAGAAAAACATTTAAAACAGGACTTTAGTAATAATGAAATAATAACTGACTATAAAAGTTGCTTTTCTGTTAGATCACTATATAGGTTGGTTCATTTATTAGGTTATGAATTTCTTGGAATAAACTGGAGTTTATTCAGGATTTAATGTACTTGCATAAAACTTAGGTAGGTTTCATTTCCATTACAGGATAAAAGCTTTTTGCCTGAAGGATTTTCACATTTACACATATATCATTGCTACTGCAAACAAAAATCTTACAGGAGAAACTACTTACCAGGACAGCAAATGGTTTATTATCAACAATGCAGAGGGAAATAGTAAACTATCTTGTTCCTTTTAAGTAAATAGAATTAGGTAAAGTATACAACAGAAAACCATGCAAAGATCTAACTTCAACACTGACTAAGAATTTAAAACAATTTTAAAAACCTATTAACAAGATTGGTGTAAACTGACCTCTGTACTCTGTGGTGAAAATTTCAACAAAGCAAATTACCTGGTTTCTTTCCCTGATTCTGGCTGCAAACCCATAAGGCCAACACTGGACCTAATCACTGAGTGTGATTTGGTTTTCATCCAACTTGGTTTGTGACCATAATAGTGGAAAGAATCAAGTTCAAGAACACAGGTCCTGCTGTAATCATGTAAGAAGATCCAAAAAAGCTAAGTTTCAACTATTGTATGATTAATGAGTTAAAAATCTTGGGTAGCAAAAGAAAAGAAAAAAGACAATAGAAGGAAAAAAATGAAAACAAAGCTTTTGTAAATAAGGAGAAGAGGGTTGAAGGGAGGGGAGGGGGATGAGGAAAAAAAAAGAATCAAGATATATGTACAGGTACAGATTCCCTATGCTGAATGTTATTGTGTATATCTAAAATGTATCAATAAAATTTTTTTAAGTATTTAAAAATTAGGCAGAAAAAAGAAAAAAACCTTAATTAAGGCAAAAAGCTAAGGCAAATTCCTATTTGTGACAAAATTATTTCATTTAAAAAAAAAAACCCATAGGATATTTTTGGAATGTCCATTTACATTCACAAACTATCCTGAGGAGGTTTACTTACTATGTAGTCTAAGTTACCACATAGTCTTTATTCAATTAAAAATATCTTTTTCTTCCAATTATAGGAAATATATGAACATTGCAGAAATTTAAGATTGTAATTTTAAAAGCCAAGGCCAAGGATGGTGGTGCACACCTGTAATCCCAGCACTTGAGAGGCTGAAATAGGAGGATCATTGTGAGTTTGAAACCAGCCTGGCTACAAAGTGAACTCAAGTTCAGCCTGAATTGCATAGCAAGACTCTCTCAAAAAGACAAAAATAAAAAATAAAATTAAAAATAAATAAATAAAAGCCAAAATCTCTCTATTTGGAGATAATCAGGGTTGGCACATTAATATATATCTTCTGGAAATTTCTGGATGATGTGTGTACATCTGCTTGCACATTTATAAAAATGGAACTGAACAATCATTTGTGTTACTTTCTTACATTTTCATTTTTATAACTTGTGCTGAGATGTCCCCCTAAAGTCTCATGTGCTCATAGGTGCTGTTTTTTAGAGCTGGTTAAATCTAGGGTGTGTGATACTGTGATTAACATTGTATGGTACTGAATTAGTCCACTGATTGGTTTAGCATAGTTCTGAGTGTGGATAATGGGAAGGCCCAATTTGAGTGTGGGTCCTACCACCCAAAAGGCTGGCAGTCTGGATGGGATAAAAGGGAAAGTGAAACTTGCTCCACTGCTGCTGCTTTGCTGCCTTCTGCTTGCCACACCATGGACTGTTTCTCCTCTGTGATGCCCCTCTACCATGGAGCCAGCCAATTACGGACTGAAACTTCTACCAATTGTGAGCTGAAATAAATCTTTTCTCCTTTAACTTGTGAGTATTGGGTATTTTGTCTCAGCAACCAGGCAAGTAAATTAGACAACATATAGTGTGACTACATTGCTATGTCAGTTAATAGTATCCATTATATGGATAATTAATCTCCTGTTGCTGAACATTCAGGACACTACTTTTTTTTAAATATATACAGTGCTTGGATAAACATCCTTGTACACATACTACTCTGTACACTTTTTTTTTTTTTTTTCCTGAGATAGGATCTTGCTATGTAGTTGAGGCAGGCCTTGAACTCACTTGTAAAGCCCAGATTGACCTCAAACTCACTTTGTAGTCCAGGCTGGCCTTGAATTCACATGGCAATTCTCCTGCCTCAGCCTTCTGAGTGCTGGGATTAAAGGCCTGTACCACCATGCCCAACTTTACTGTGTATTCTTTTCTTTTTCTTTTTTTTTTTTGAGATTAAGAGTAGGAAGAATTCATTGAGAGAAAGAAAGCTTGTGTCTGAGACGGACAGAAAGGGGCCTAGAGATGGATTGCCTCTAATGTATTCTTACAAGAATTAAAATAGCATCTAAATTTAGTCTTTTCAACTATTTACATCTGCCTTGTTACTAAGTGATTTGAAGTAACACAGTATGATATGATTTTACTGAACATAATTTACTAATCTATCTTTTTCAAAAATTCTTACCTTGCAATAACAGATTCAGCTGGCATGATATTGGGTACATAATGGGCCATTGGGGAAACGAAGTGTCCATCTAGGATCTTACAGTCTGACTGCTCTTCAATCTAAAAGAAAGGAAAAACAAAGATGCAAGTAGGTTATACCTTGGATGTTTATATAATAAAATGGATGTTTATATAATAAAAAGGGTCTACTGAATTAAGACCTTTCTCTAGTCCTTACTGTATTTCCTTTTGACTCGACTCAGCTTTTCAAAAGACACTGTTCCTACACATTTATTTTCTTTCTTTCTTTTTTTTCCTTGTGTTTTTGAGACAGGGTTTTCCTATGCAGTTCAGGCTGGCCTTGAACTCACTTTGTAGCCTAGGCTAGACTCGAACTCAAAGGGATCCTCCTGTCTCAGTCTCCCGAGTGCTGGGATTACAGGCATGTGCCACCATGCCTGGCCATTTATTTTATTTCTGTATGCTTTAGTACAGCCTAGTTGGGAAAATAAATAATAAATGTCATGCATATATTGACAGCAATAACACAAAATAAAATACTAATTAAAAGAATTCAACAACATTCAACAATATCATCATAAGAACTATTTAAAAATTACAATAATTTACCACAATCAAGTAAGCACTGAAATCAAATACAGTGGTTCAGTACTGGCAACTGACTGATGCAAAGCATCAAAGGTCAACACATTAAATAAGACAAATGGAAACTAGCTAACACTCAGTGTCTAAACTTATTCTCCTGTCAAATACAGTAGCTATTTCTTTAAAAAAAAAAAAAAATCAAGCCAACAATAAAAACTAAAGAACAAGTAGCAGAAAAATACCACATATTGTTAATAATCAGAAACAAACATCCATCAGTTTCTGGTTTTGTGTCTATAAATTTAACTTCAATACCTGTCTTTGTTTTGATGGTGGAGGTTTTTTGTTTGGTTTTGTTTTTTTTTGGTTTTTCTCTGGTACCAGGAACCGAACTCATGACCTTGCGCTTGCCAGGCAGGCGCTCTGCTGCTGAGCTAAATCCCCAACCCTGTTTTGATGGTGTTAGGGATTGAACCTAGGGCTTCAAACATGCTAGGCAAACACTTTACACTGAGTTACATCCAGCATTTTTAAAAACACAAATTTTAGCTAGTTGTGTAAATGTTCTTTAGTTAAAAATGCATATGCAAATGAGTTAAAATATTACTGTTCCACAAACTGAATTTCCATAAATTTCTGCAAATTATTTTCAACACTTTATTAGATTTTAATAGCCTATATTTCTGCACTAATATGGTATACTGGTAACTGCAACTTTATAATACTCATTGATATATGAGTGAACTAGTCTTTCCTTATTTTATCTTTTAAGAATATTCCTGATCTGACTGTACTCTCATGTATTTTTCCAAAATAATTTTGGGATACTTATATGGATCTAAATTCTAAATTGAATACTTTAATTGTAATTGTGCTGCATTTTTTTTTGAGGGGGCGGGTAGTCTTTTTGAGACAGGGTCTCACTATGCGGTTCAGGCTGGCCTTAAACTCAGTTCATAGCCCAGGCTGGCTTCATACTCTCAAAGATACTCCTGTCTCAGCCTCTTGAGTGCTGGAATTACAGGCATGTGGCACCACGCCCAGCTCTTCTTTTTTTGTCTTTTTCAGACAGGGTCTCACTAAGCATGTTTGTTTGTTTTTATTTTTCTCTTTGTGATAGGGTCTCCTATGCAGTTCAGGCTGGCCTTGAGCTCACTTTGTAGCCCAGTCTGGTCTCGAACTCACAAAGATCCTCCTGCCTCAGCCTCCCCAGTGCTGGGATTACAGGTGTGCGCCACCAAGCCCAGCAATTGTGCTGCATTTAAGAAAATGTTTAAGGAAACCCAAAATTGGTATTAAATTTTTATTATCTAAAGTCTTCCCAGGGCTAGGGATATAGCTCAGCGGCAAAGCACGTACCTGGCAAGTGCAAGATTATGAGTTTGATTCCTGGTACCAATACTACTACTACTACTACTAAATAAACAAAAGTGATCTAAAGAATCAATGCAGTCCCCATCAAAATTCCAATGATATTCTTCACCAAACTTGAAAAAAGTATCCTAAAATTCACATGGAAGCACAAATAATCCAGAATAGTCAAAGCAATTCCAAGCAAAGACAGCAAGGCAGAAGCATGACAATACTTATACTACAAAGCCAAAGTAACAAAAATAGTATAGTACCGCACAAAAATATAGACCAGTGGAACAGAACAGATGGCAAAGAAACAAATCCATATAACTCCAGCCATCTGATTTTTGACAAAGGTATCAAAACCACAAACTGAGAAAAGACAGACTCTTAACAAATGGTGTTGGGAAAACTGGATATCCACTTATAGAAGTCTGACACTAGATCTTTATCTCTCATCCTATACAAAAATCAATTCAAGCCTAGGGGGTAAAACCTGTAATGTCAGCACTTGGGAGGCTGAGGCAGGAGGATCTTTGTGAGTTCGAAACCAGCCTGCGCTACAAAGTGAGCTCATGGCCAGGCTGAACTACATAGCGAGACCCTGTCTCAAAGAGAAAAACAAAAAACAAACAGAAAAATCAATTCAAAATGTATCAGAGACCTACCTGTAAGACCTGAAACTTCTGAACCTGTTAGAAGAAAAGAATGTAAACACTGGAAGCCGTAGGCCAAGCAAAGACTTCCTGAATAGGGCACCAATAATACAGGAAAAAATAGCAAGAATCAACAAATGGGACTACAACAATTTAAAAACTTTTTGCAACGTAAGAGAAAAACCAAGAGTGAAGAATAGATGACAGGACAAAATCTTTGTCAGCTACTCTTCCAACAGATGAGTAATATCTAGAATACGTAAGAAACTCAAAAATTTAACACCAGAAAATCAAATAGACCAATCAATAAATCAGCAAATGAACTGAACAGACACTTCTCAAAAGTACAAATGGCAAATAAACATGAAAAAATGTTCAACATCTTTAACCATTACCGAAATGCAAATCAAAATTACACTGCCATTTCCTCTCATTCCGATCAGAATGACTATTATGAAGAACAGAAAAACTAATGCTGGTGAAGGTATGTAGAGAAAGGAACTCTTCTACACTTCTAGTAGGACTGTAAATTACTATAGCCACTGTAGAAATTAGTATGGCACTTCCTCAAAAAAAAAACAACTACCATATCACCTAATATACATCATTCTTTCATATCTGCCAGAAAGAATTAAAGCCAATGTACTATAGGGACATGTAGACATCCACTTTTATTTTGTCACAATTCACAACAGGCAAGATATAGAACATGTAGACATCCACTTTTATTTTGTCACAATTCACAACAGGCAAAATATGAAACCAGCCTATGTATTAACAGATGAATGGATGAAAAAAGGATGGTATATATACCAAGTACAGTATTATTCAGCCACAAGGAACAAATTATGTCGTTTGTAAGAAAATGGGTAAGTCTGCAGATCATCATGTTAAGCAAAATCAGCCAGACACACAAAGACAAGTATCACATATTTTCCCTAGTATGTGGAATCTAAAAAAGATGACATGAAAACAGAAGGGAGGAATTCCAGGAAGATGATGGAGTGGTGAGCAGCAGAGAAAGATCCTGAGATTTGGTGTTCAGACACTGGAACATAGCAATGTAAGGACGAGAAGGAGGGAAGTGGCTCCCAGGAACGCAAGAAGGATCTGAATTGAGAAGTGAAGCCTATGGGGAGGGTGCAGACAGAAACTACAACAAAGACGGAGGTTGCAGGTGGCTCTTTGTCCTTGACCCTGGACTCACTGCATGGGAGCCGCAGCTCGAAACTGCAAGATGCATGGTGACTACTGGCGACCCCAGAGCTCTCCACAGAGAAACATACCAGTGGGACAGAACAGTGGATGGAACAGACTGCAGTGGCTGGTGAATTACTCAGGTTCAGATGTCCCAAAGGAGATGGGGATGGGCCATCTTAGAGAGGAGCCAACTGAGCTCAGAACTTACTGATGGCTCCATCTAGCAGCTCCCAGCTAAGTTCAAGCCCACAGGAGGTGCAGACTGCTGCAGGCTGAATGGGTCTGACTCTAGCCTCATGGCCAGAAACCAATCTGAACTTCAGAGGAAATAAAGGTGCAGGCTTGCTGGGATCATCTACTACCCTGATGTAAAGCTACTCCTGGCTTGCTGGGATTAATCAAACTGGTCTAGTCTATGTCTCTCCATGTTGTCTACCAGTGATAGAAGAGACACACCTTGAGGTGGACATTATTTTTTATTTTCTTTTTTTGCTTTTCTTTCTTCTTTTGGTTTTGTTTTTTCTTCATTGTTTGTTCTTGTTTTACATTAGTGTGAACATGGTTTCTAACTTTTTCATTGTTCTGTGCTGTTCTTGTTCTATTTCTCTCTTCTCTTTCCCTCTCTTCTGCACCAATTTCCCAAAGCTTGCACAATCCTTTTTCCTGCAGCCTTGCTTCTAATTTCATCCTCTTTGTCTACGCCTCTATCCCCCTGAACCCACTGCTTTTAACTTTTCTCCTGGTTCATTTTAGATTTTGTTATATGGCCACAAATCTAGTTCATATGGTTAAAGGTGGCAAATTAATAGCTACCTCAGTTCGTCATTTTCTAGCCTGTGTTTGATGCTATTGTTATTGCTGATTGTACCAATTTAGCCAAAATGACATAATTGTTCTAACCAGTTGCTCTTCTTGGTATACCAAGACTTGAGGTAGAACCTCTCGGGTCGAGGGACCTGGGCCCGCGGCAAGCGGCGGCACGGTAAAGAAAGAGACACTGGAGACCAGGCTGATGGTGCAGATCTACTTTATTGCGGAAGTACCAGGCATTTTATAGAGCAGGCTAGGGGCGTCGCAAAAGGGGGTATGATCATCGAGGGGAGGCACCGAGGGAGGGGCAGAGCGGGGCAGCCCAGGCGGGGAGACTCACTCGGTCTGCCAAGGACATAACAAGTCCAAGTCTGCTTACACTCGTTCCTCCGCCACGGCTGTCAACCAAACCTCTGGGCCCTTTTTTCCCACAAAGACTGAGATTACCTAAGGGTCTTAAAAAATACTAGAGGTCAGTGCCAAAGAATCAAGTAG